AGCAGAGGCGGTGCTGACGCAGTGAAGGGTGGATGAGGAGCAGAGGCTGCAGCATCATGGCGTCCTTGAGCGGTGAAGGACGGGCCGCAGCAGAGAGGAGGCTGCACATCAGCATCAGGCTCTGAGACTGACTTTTACTGTGAGACAAACAGAAGAGACGCATCACGCACAGCCAGCTGTTAGCCAGGAGGATTTAGTGTGTCAGGCCTTTTGCCTGATGCCAGCAGGCAGAATAAAAGCAAAACATTATCACCCATATGGATAATTACAGCCAGCATACCTGAAGTGCAGAACAGCTCATGTAATTTGTTACAGGCGATATGCATTCCTTGAAGGAATGCATATCGCCCTCCGCCTTTCACCTGCGATCGTTTTCTGAAGAGGAGGGATGGAGTTGTATTTGTTTTGTCAAACCTTGAACAACGTCTTCCATCAGTCTCTTGTAATAATGTGAGCTCTTACAGGAAGTGTTAGTGTTCAGTTTATTTTATAATGATGACTCTCAGCTACTACCACACAACATTTCATCAGCATCTTTAAAGCCAACTTCAGTTATAGCGCCAGCTTTGTGCTTCTTAAACTGGTTAAACTGGTTAAACTGGTGTGTGATTGTATTCCAAAAGTTCCATTAAAATCCATGCAGTGTTTCAGAAATACTAAACTAACAGACCAAACTAAATCAAGAGAGTATGGATGGATGGGCGGCTGCGGCTCAGTAGTTAGAGCAGTCGTCCTCCAATGCAAGAGTTGGGGGTTCGAATCCACATGTTGAAGTGCCCCTGGGCAAGACACTGAACCCCTCATAGCCTCTGATGTGTGTCCCATCAGTGTATGAATGTGATAAAGCTCTGATTAGTCTCTTTAGAATGATTTGTTCTATTAGCTTTGTAGAGATCTAGTATAGAGCTGTATGAATGGGTCAGTGAGGCACAGATTGTAGTAAAGAGCTTGATGAGATGGAAAGGTACTACATACTATAAGTACAGACCATTTACCATTTACTCCAGTAGGTAATGGTAAAAGTAGGTGTTAGCACTCAGAATATGTGCTAGGGATCAATCCAAGCTACTACCATACCCAATTTGAGCTCATCTGTAAAACTGATTCATTGATATTTCTGTATTTACTAGGTTTCTTAGCTGTGGCGGCCATCTTAAATGGAGCTGACCGTAAAACTTAATTGAAGATCTAAGTTCATGCTCAGTAATCCAGGTAAAACAATCCAACAATGCTCAGTCAGGTCATCTGATGGTGTATTTTCTTTGTTTTGTTGTTGAGATGTTTCATCTTTCATCCAAAGGACTTCGTCAGTCCGAGGAGCCACAAACAAACTCAGTCCCACAAGCAGCACACTTGCATAGTGAACCAACCACATGTTTATGCACTGATTACTTTAAAAGATTTTTATAAAAATTTTGTCCACAAGTACATGAGATATTTTGCTAACGGTACACACAGATCAACACACACAGGCAAAACCATTATCACCCTTCCTTTGCTTTCAGCGTCAGGTGGTAAAAATGGTCCAGAAGTGGTGATCTGTCCATTTGCCTGATGTAAATAGAAGGTTATGAAAAATAATATCATACTTGTAGATAACTCTTGATTCAGTTCAATTCAGTTTATTTATAAAGCACCAAATCACAACAAAGTTGTCTCAGGGACTTTACAGGAACATTCACATAAAAGACAATTAGTAAAGTTCTATATCTGAGGAATCCAGCAGACAAGATGAATCTTGGCTTCGTTGCAGTCTCCCATCCTGAGCAAGCACAGTGGAGACAGTGGAAAGAAAAACTCCCTTTAACAGGAAGAAACCTCCAGCAGAACCAGCTCAGGACCAGAGACCATCTGCTCTGACCGGCTTGAAACCTCAGTATTGAAAAAACAAAGTTTAATTTTAACCCAACTGATGAGTGGGTTGGTGCTGCCTTATAAAACTTAAAGATTTCATAACAGTTCACACAAACTCTGTCTTTATCATGATTGTTGAGTATTGAACCCAGGGGCAGACAGAAACCCAAAAAGCTCAGGTTAATATAAGAGAAACTCATTTATTAAAAAAATGAAAACAAAGCTGACGTGGAAGCAAAATACTGACAAGGAGAAAAAGCTCTGGAAGACACGGGTGGAACAAAGCGACAGCTTCTGTAGCTTAATGCACGGACAACGGATGAGGAAAAGGACACGATGTTTAAAGGGAGACTGATGAGGGAGAAATGACAACACCTGGAGAGAGACAGTGAGGACCAGGTGAGAGTGGGCGGGGCTAGGAGCTGAACTACATGAGGGGAAAACAAGAAAAACAAGATACCAGAATCAAAAAACACTAACAAATAAGACAAAAGACACGGATCGTGACAGTCCAAACGTGTGCACCTCTTGCATCTGGCTGCTCCAGATGTCACTTTAAATTTTTCCTTATTCAACTGTAAACGTGTTCAGGCAGCATGATTTTTTCTGCATCTGTTAAGTCCATGGGTGATTTTCTGTGGTTTATTATGCATTAAAACACAGTGTCACACCGTAACAAACTGAATTAATATGGCAACATTTACTAAGACAGGTCAAATAAACAACTGCTCATATGTAAATTACAGTAAAGATCAAAACCACACAGCAAGATTTCAGCTGAGCTTCACAAACTGGACAGAACTTCCACGGCACCTCCCTGCAGCCAAGGCTCATCAAATGAACTACAAATAAATCCTGTCAGATATAAAGTAAAATAAGAAAAATAGAGGTTATTATGGATGTCCTCTGCTTTATGTCCTTTGATTTCCTGCTGACGTTTTCTTTGTTTCTGTTCTTGTTGCAGTTTGTGATTTCTCTAACTGACGTGGTGTGTTGAGATCATCATGGGGGAACTCTTTCGAAGCGAAGAGATGACCTTAGCTCAGCTCTTTCTCCAGTCAGAGGCGGCCTACTGCTGTGTCAGCGAGCTGGGAGAACTGGGCATGGTCCAGTTTAGAGATGTAAGTCTGATTGTTGTGAGAAAGGCATTTTGTTTAAAGTCATAACCAGAAATATTAAACGTGAATGGTAAAGTGCAGTCTTCTGTGAGTCAGGGCTTGTTTGCAATTTTAAAGGAAATTAGATGGATTCAACCCAAATGTGCCCAGTGATACCCCAGTGGTACCACACTGGTACCACTGGGGTACCACTACCATTATCCAAAGAGGACAACGGTAGGGGAAACACTGGAATGTTATAGTGTAATAAGACCTAATATAATCTAATATAAACTTCCACCTTCTAAGCCCAGATTAATTCAAAAAAGGGATCTGAAACGTTTTTGTGAACAGTCATTCCTCTGGGATCTGTCTCACTTTGACTGGCATCATATTCTGTTAACTGATGACGTGAACTCCGCTTGGAACTATTTCCATAATAATTTCATTTATTTCCTGAACTTACATGCTCCTTTTCATCAGTTCAGAATAAAGGGACAAGACAGCCCCTGGTTTACTCCAGAGCTAGCTGACCTCCTGCACAGGAGAGATCATCTTTGGGCCACAGCGAGAAAATCTGACTCAGACACTGATTGGTTGAGTTTTCGACAGATGAGGAATAAATGTACAACTGCTGTCAAAGCAGCAAAACAACTATTTCTTATCTCAGACCTCCAAAAATCTAAATGACCCCAACAGATTCTGGAAAACCATCAAATCTCTCTCAGGCACCCCCCAATCATCTGACCTCCCATCACAACTTCTCATTAATTCTGTTCCTGTGTCAAATAAGCACGAGATCCTGAACTGTTTCAACAAACACTTTGTTGCTTCTGGTTCTTTATTTGACACAGTTACTAATGGAAGATCAGCCACTTCACTTAATAACCAAACTTCTACAAATCAAATCCCTCCTACAAGTCAATCCTCAGTTAATCACAGCTTCTCTTTTTCTCCATTCTCAGTCAGTGAGGTCAATAAACTGTTAAAAGATCTTGATCCTAAAAAATCTGCAGGTCCAGATGAACTTCCACCTTATTTCTTAAGGCTGGCTGCTCATATCATCACAGTCCCTGTGACCCACATCTTCAATCTCTCCATAAGACAAAACTCCATCCCAGACACTTGGAAAACAGCCTTTGTTCTTCCTTTGCTGAAGGGAGGTGACCCCACATCACTGAACAACTATGGACCAATCTCTAAACTCTGCATTTTAGCCAAGGTTCTAGAAAAACTGATAAACTCTCAAATCAAAAATTACCTGGACTCATTTAACATCTTGCCTCCACATCAATCTGGTTTCAGGAAACAACACAGCACAACCACTGCTTCACTGAAGGTTCTTAATGACGTTGTTGAAGCACTGGATGCTAAGGATTATTGTGCTGCACTTTTCTTAGACCTGTCTAAAGCTTTTGATACTGTGGATCATGACATCTTGTGTCATAAACTCTCAGAAATTGGTTTCTCAGAACACACCATTGGTTGGTTCTCTAACTATCTTTCAGACCGGAGGCAATGTGTTCAACATAATGGTACTTCCTCCAGTTATTTAACAGTCAACAATGGTGTACCACAAGGCTCAGTCTTAGGACCCACCCTCTTTACAATCTACATAATGTAGATAAAAACATCCCTAATGCATCCATACATTTCTACGCTGATGGGGGGGGGGGGGTTTGCTAGCTTAGCACTACGTCAGTGCTGGCAGTTCAGTTGTGGAATGGGCGGGGCGCCCTCCTTGTATAACAGTAGGGGAAACACTGCTGGTTGAAATCTGTCCGTTTTTTCTTCCACCGAGGACAGATTTTAAACCAATTTGTGATCAACTGTTAATTTTTAAAAGAGCTTAAAAAATGAACCAACTCAGGGCGGCTGTGGCTGAGTGGTTTGAGCAGTCATCCTCCAATGGGAGGGTTGGGGGTTTGATTCCATGATTATGCAGTCACTTGTTGAAGTGTCCCTGAGCAAGACACTGAACCCCTCGTTGCCTCTGATGTGTGTTCCATCAGTGTATGAATGTGATAAAGCTCTGATTATTCTCTGTATAGATGTAGCAGAGTATGAATGTGTGTGGAGGTAAATGAAGACACAGGTTGTGTTGTAAAGAGCATGGAGTGTCTTGATTCGATAGAAAGATGCTGAATAAGTGCAGTCCAGTTATCATTTACCAAGTGGCAGTGTCTTTTTTAACAAGCTTAAAGTTTAGAGGAAGTACCCCTCTGTTACTGTACACAAGTGAACGACAGCAACAGGTCTGGTAATGTGTGAAAATAATAAATACACCTTTGTTGTTTTTATTCACTAAATTTGTAGGAATGGCACAACGAAGATATTCAGTGGTTTTGACACAAGACTTTTTAATATGCTGGTATTACTTGGAACTAGTAACTGCATGTCCACTCTTGTGTCTGTCGTATCTTCACATATTTCAAATATTTTGATTAGAACATCTGATTTACAGATTTTTTTTTCTTAAATACAAATTAACTTCAGTCTGTGTTTTTAAAATTCATTTGAACATATTGGCAGGAACAAGCGCTCAGGACTGTTGGCCTTGCTCGAGTAAATGCCTTCTTTGGTCTTTTCTTTTACCCAGCTAAATCCAGATGTTAACGTGTTCCAGCGCAAGTTTGTGAATGAAGTGAGGAGATGTGAGGAGATGGACAGGAAACTAAGTGAGTGATGAAATCCATCCATCCATCCATTATCTTTACCCGCTTATTCCATTTTGGGTCACGGGGGTCGCTGGTGCCCATGTCCAGCAATCACTGTGCGAGGGGCGGGGTACACCCTGGACGGGTCGCAAGTCCATCACAGGGCCACATAGAGACAAACGAGACAAACAACCGTTCACTCTCTCACTCACACCTAGGGACAATTTAGAGTTACCAATCAGCCTAACATGCATGTTTTTGGTCTGTGGGAGGAAACCGGAGTACCCGGAGAAAACCCACGCATGCACGGAGAGAACATGCAAACTCCACCCAGAAGGCACCTGGACCGGGGTTTGAACCAGGGACCTGCTCGCTGAGAGGCAGCAGCTCTACCAGTTGCGCCACCGTGCTGCCCGTGATGAAATCAAAGAGCTCTGTTTTTGTTTTCTGCTGTGAAAACTGAACGATTCACGAGCTTTTTCTCTGATCAGGGTTTGTTGAGAAGGAGATTAAAAAGGCCAACATCCCAATGGTGGACACTGGAGAGAACCCAGAAGTACCTTTTCCCAGAGATATGATCGACTTGGAGGTAATCAGTGATTTAACATCTTTTGTCTTGAGAATTCAAACACATAAAAACAGAAACTTCTATTTCTATATGTGTCTGAATTCATCTGTGTACTTTTCATCTCTGAAACTGAGAATTAGCCTGGACTGAAGGTGACGGCTCTTCTCTGCAGGCAACATTTGAGAAGCTGGAGAATGAACTGAAGGAGATCAACACCAACCAGGAAGCTCTGAAGAAGAACTTTCTTGAGCTGACTGAGCTCAAACACATCCTGCATCGAACACAGCAGTTCTTCGATGAGGTGCGTGCATACCTCTCACCTGTCAGCTGCACTTTAATGAGCTAGTAGATCACCAGTCAGTGGGTCACAGGGTGTGTTCGATCAAAAGTTGATTTTCAGATTTGACTTTTTTCTAGAGCACTGCAACCATTAAAGTCTGGTTTATACCAACTAAAGTGATGTTGTGGTTTACAGATGGAAGATCCCAACCTGTTGGAGGAGTCCTCAGCTCTGATGGAGGGCAGCGAGGGGGGCCGCGGGGCCCCACTCAGGCTAGGGTAAAACAAGCTTTGCATCATCCAGCCACCTTTTTCTGCACAATCTTCTTGTGTGTAAGATGAACGGAGTATGGCTTCAAACTGTAGGATGAAGCAGTTCTGGAAAAAAACACATTAGAGGCTGAACTACAACATGAGATGAACAGTTAACAAGCTTTGTCGATCTCAAAGTCATCCATCCATCCATCCATCCATCCATCCATCCATCCATCCATACGTCCATACATACATACATACATACATACATACATACATACGTCCATACATACATACATACATATGTCCATCCATCCATCCATCCATACATACATACATACATACATACATACATGCATACATGCATGCATACATGCATGCATGCATACATGCATACATGCATGCATTCTGCTTGTTCTGAAGTCAGGTTGTGGAGGCAGCATCTTGATCAGGGAGGTCCAGACATCTCTCCACAGCCTCTTCCAGCTCTTCTAGGAGGACTCCAAGGTGTTCCCAGGCCAACTGAGAGACATAATCTCTCCAGTGTGTCCTGGGTCTTCCCCGGGGTCTCCTCCCAGTTGGGACATGCCCAAAGCACCTCCCGAGGGAGGAGCCCAGGAAGCATCCTTACCAGATGCCCAAACCACCTCAATTGGTTCCTCTCAACGTGGAGGAGCAGTGGTTCTACTCCGAGTCTCTCCTGATAACTGAACTTCTCGTCCTGTCTTTAGAGAGTCCAGCTACCCTGCAGAGGAAACTCATTTCAACCTCCTGGATCCATGATCTTGTTCTTTCTGTCTCTACCCAGAGTTCATGACCAGAGGTGAGGGGAGGAATGTAGAGTGACTGGTAAACAGAGAGCTTTGCCTTACCGCTCAGCTAACTCTTCACCACAACGGACCGGCACAGAGTCCTCAATACTGCAGACGCTGCACCAATCTTTCTGTCAATCTCACGCTCCATTCTTCCCTCACTTGTGAACAAAACCCCAAGATACTTGAACTCCTCCACTTGAGGCAGAACCTCAACCTGAAGAGAACAATCAACCCTTTTCCAACTGAGACCATGGCCTCAGATTTGGAGGAGCTGGTCTCAAAGTCAGAGTTTTCAAAATCACAGAGGAGGCTCTCTGAACCCAGCTTTATGTCTGTGTTAACAGAAGCTGGCTTTAGTTGAACTGTCTGTAAAAACACAGCTGATTCTTTTCTTGTCAATATCATAAACAGAAAATTGGATTGAAACATTATTTTATAATATATAAACATTAGTGGTGTGGAGTGATGGCGCAGAGGTTAGAGAAGGTGGGCCTGTGATCGGAAGATCGCTGGTTCAACTCCCGGACAGACAACATCAAAATGTGGGTGGGATAGGGGAAGCACCCACACCTGTCTCCACCCTGTTTCCCCGCCCTGGGCCCTTGAGCAAGGCCCTGAACCCCCACCATCTGCTCCCCCGGGCAGCTGGCAGCTCTCTGCTCCACTCAGAGGCTGTGGTAGCTCAGTGGTCTGTGGTTGTGTCAGGAAGGACATCTGGCGTGAAAATAATTGTCAAGTCTTTGTGCGAGTTAATTCGCTGTTGTGACCCAAAAAAAAGAACGGAGAAGCCAAAAAAAGTCAGTTTTAATTGACTGATGTAAAACAAATATTGAATTATTAAGTAACATGAAATAAAAAAAGTTCAATGTCTTCTGAAGTCGGTGTATCATAATTAGATGTTGATCAAATGTCCTTTCCACTGGCAAACACCAACCGTGAGACCAAAGAAGCTGCAGTTAGGGGGAAACATGTTTTATTTTTTCTTACATTAATATCTGAATTAAAGTTGAAGCTGATGATGTAGAGGGGAAATATATTTTCATATTGACCAGCGTTGCTGAGATTTCTGTTGGTAATATATTTATTGTTCCCAATCACAGAGCAAAGAGTGGGAATTACAAATACTGTACCATCTGTCACTCCGTGCATGTTGTGATCATGATAACATGAAATATAAGTGAGGTGCCAGCTTTCATTTTGGTGTGTGGCTACATGTAGGTGTAAGAAAGATCACTATATAAAACTGGGTTGCAATGTTAAAATACAAAATGGCCACCGTCATATGTATGCTACATTTATATGTAAACTGGACACCCCTATAATTAGAGTAAATGATGCTTTCTAGTTTTAATATTGCCTAAAATTATAGTTTTCTCAAGTGATTGGGATGGACGAAGATTGATCTAGGGTGGCCAAGGCCACCATTGGCCACCATTGGCCACCCTCTGGCTCCACCATTGCACCTGGTGGTGAATAAAGTTCCCTCACCAGGATCGATCACTCTGCACTACTTCAGACAAAAAAAAAAAAAAAAAAACTCTATGTTCTTCCAACATTTTTCAGTCAGGTCATCTGGACAGTTTCTTTTTTTGTTTGTTTGTGCTGAAACATTTCACCTTCGGTCCGGAAGGTTTCATCACAGCAATGGAGGAGGGGGCGTACCAAAGAGACCATCTTATCACAAGCAGAACTGGTTTGTTCCACTTTGGAGAAAGCTGTTGGGGGAAGAATCAGTTCTGTTGTGCGTTTCCTTGACTGATGAAGCCTTCCGGATCGAAGGCGAAATGTTTCAGCTCAAAAAAAGAAACTGTTCAGATGACCTGACTGAAAGATGTTGGATTGTATACCTGGATTATTGAGCATGGACTTTGTTCTCTGTTCTTCTACACAGTTCAACTCCTACACACTTTGAATATCTTGCACTACAAATGTTGTTTTAATTACATTCCTTGTTCAATTCCAGTCCAGAAAAACTCATCTTGTAAACTGCAAACATTCACTATTCTAATTTAACGATGTTCTTAATTGTCACAGGTTCCTGTTGCACCACTTTTGCATGACATTCTCATAGCTGTTCAGCAATCACAAGTGTCCAAAATCTGCAATTCTGTCATTCAACAGTGCTCAAGTATTTATGTATGATGCATTCCTCACATATTTAGGCCCATTTTTTTGTCTAGTTTGTGCAACAGTCATGTAACATAGATGTGCCACAGTTCACTCTGACTAGAAGTGAAAATTGTTTCCAACTATTTGCTTATAAATTCAGCTCAGTGAGATACTGGATTTAGTTTTAAATGGTAAATGGACTGTACTTATATAGCTCCATCTATCTAATCAAGATACACAAAGTTCTTTACAACAATCTGTGCCCTCATTTACCTCCACACACACACATTCATACAGCTCTCTACTAGATCTATACAAATTTAATCTAACAAATCATTCTACAGAGACTAATCAGAGCTTTAGATCACATTCATACACCGATGGGACACACCACCATCATCTTTACCCACCTCTTTCTTTTTTGGGTCGCTGGTGTCCATGTCCAGCCATCACTGTGTGAGAGGTGGGGGACACCCTGGACAGGTCTCCAGTCCATCACAGGGACACATAGAGACAAACAACTCACTCACACCTAGGTACAATTTAGAGTTACCAATCAGTCTAACATGCATGTTTTTGGTCTGTGGGAGGAAACTGAAGTACCTGGAGAAAACCCACGCATGCACGGAGAGAACATGCAAACTCCACCCAGAAAGGCCCCCGGCCGGGATTTGAACCAGGGACCTGCTTGCTGAGAGGCAGCAGCTCTACCAACTGCGCCACCGTGCTGCCCAGATGGGACACACATTGGAGGCAATGATGGTTCAGTGTTTTGCCCAGGGACACTTCAACATGTGATTACATTCAATTGAATTCAACCTTTATTTCTACAGGTTAGTCTCATTGAGCCTTGAGGACTCATTTACAAGAGACACCTGAGTTAAACAAAGAACACAGATGACAACAGCAGACAATCATAAAAAGCATAAAAAATAAAGTGCTATGTGTTGCCGTCATTGATGTTCCCATACAACGACAAAATTGACTCTGCATTTAACCCATCGCACCTGGGGTACACCCAGGTGGAGCAGTGGGCAGCTATGTAAGCACCTGGGGAGCAATTCAAGATTGGGTGTCTCGCTCAGAGACACCACGAGATGTGGGAATGGCTGGGGATTGAACCTGGGACTTCCGGGTCCCATGTCGCTGCCCTGCCTCTACCCCATCGCAGCCCCTACAGTATAAAATGAAAAATAAATGGAAGAAATGATATTAATAAAACCCAGAAACAAAAACATCAACATTATAAGGCGGTGTAGAAAACTAAAAACAGGAACGTGTCTGTGTTGGTTTTTCTCAGGAACTTATCAGATGTTTGAAGCCACTTAGAGAGTTCAAGGTCGAGAGCTTCAGGTCTTTTTGTAAGATATTCCAGGAAACAGGAGCGGAGTAGGAGAAGGACCTTTTGTCTAGTTCAGTCCGCACTGAGGGAACACTGCAGGTAATGATGTCCTGAGAGCGCACGCTGTAGCTGCACTCACACAGAGACATGTAGGAGGAGATGTATGAAGGCAGCAGACCAAGAAGTGCTGCCCCCAAATTTTAAAACAGTCAAATGTGGCAAGATAAATTCTGTTGCCTCATACGCATCTAGGGGTGATCTATAGTAAAGCAACACTTTGATTTCATGGTTTGATCTGGAGCGGGGTCACCAACAAGTTTGGGACTGAGAGCAGCTTCAGTGGGGCCGAGTAACGCCAACGGCCACATGTTTCATACAAACATTCATTTGCATGTCTCACTTTTAATTATAGTATTAAAATACATTTATATATATGTGGCTATGACTGTCTGATCACATATTAATGTTAAGAACTCCTCACAATGATTATCAATAATTATTTACCATAAATTATTAGTGATTAGAACTCAATCAAGAACTCAAGTTCTCAGTTTAAAAGTTTTTTGGTTCTTCTGTGACTAAATTGTGCCTAGGTGTGACGGAGTGTGAATGATTGATTGTCTCTGACTGTGTCCCTGTGATGGACTGGAGACCTGTCCAGGCTGTCCCCTGTCTTCACCCAAAGGCTCCAGCCCCCACCCTGACCCTGATTAGGAACAAGGGGGACATCATGGATGGTTTACTGTAGCAGGAAACAGATATTTAAACATATAGCTCATTTATTTTAAGCTCAGTCAGTAACATTTGAAATCCAGTGTATTTTTAATAAATTATTTTTGTATTTTGAACTGAATCATCAGTTCTGATCCTCAGATCTGCAGCATTTTTACCTGATCATCACATCCTTTACTCTTTTTAAACAAATTACTCTTCACATTATTCGTCAGTGCTTCTTTCAAGACGCCTCCACCTGAAAGAGCCTCCTGGAGAAAGACTGTTTGTCAGAGCCGCCTGAACTCCTCATGTTTTTCTGCTCTCCTGCTGCCAGGCAGGAAGTTAGCATTAAAGCTAAAGTGTTAGCTGATGAAGAGTCGCTCCACGTTGTGGCGTTTTGCTGTCACCACAGTCGCCCCACCAATGACCAGGTCTGGTTTGCAAATGAGTCCCCGAGGCTCAATGGGATTAACCTGAATAAATAAAGGTTGAATGAATGAGACACACTCACTTATCTTTCACAACTGTAAAAAAACAGCAACTATTCTTCCCAATCAGTGTGTAAATAATTAGTTTTCTTGCTTTTGATGGAGCTCACAGTGATTTCATTAATTTATTTTGTACATCTTGTCTGAGCAGGTTTGTTGCTGGAGTCATCAGCAGGGAGAGGATTCCCACTTTTGAGAGGATGCTGTGGAGGGTGTGTCGTGGAAACGTCTTCTTACGAAAGGCAGAGATCGAAGACCCTCTGGAGGACCCCACTACGGTCAGCACTAAACTAAACGAGCTTCAGAAAACACGTGCACTGATGCTTGAGTTTAAATAAATTATTTAAAACTCCGTGTTAAATACTGAGATTAAATCAAGAATAAATTCAGAAAAATCTAGAAATCCACAAAAAAATAATTTCTGTGCCAATAAATGAAACCTAAAAATATAAATTAAAGCAATTTATCGGTGAATGTGCTTCAAATTGATCATTTATTTTAACTATTCTGAATTAACCCCAACATCCCTGTATATTTAAAGGGATGTTCTGCCCATTTAGAATAGGGGTTAGTGGAAAGTTTGAACAATTACATTGTTGAAAATAGGTCAGAACAACATCAGTTAGGAAAGAGCAAGAGTTTAAGTCTGTCTAGATTGATGGAGCTAACAGCTGATTTAAACAGAAGCAAGACCAAAGTGGATTACTGCCACCTCTGAACATCTTCAGCACCAAAACCTGTTACTACATTTCATGGAAACACTATTTTGTAAAGTTGTCTACACCTGTTAATTTCGCATTACATCTTTATTCTGGCAAAAATCATTTATCTGTGTAGGAGATATTTGTGTTAGTTGCTGCAGCTGATTGCATTTGCAGATAACACAAGTAAAAGCCCGTGGACGGTGAAACTGATGGCGATGCTAAGGTTTCTAAAATGGCGTTTGTGTAAACCACTATGAAATTTTAGGGATTAGATTTAATGGGCTGCGTTAGCTCAGTGGGTAAGCCTTGTAACCCTGGGGCTGCCGGTTCGAGCCCAGGTTGCATCAGGAAGAACATCTGGTGTAAAAGAATTTCCCAATCTTTCATGCAAGTTCAGTTGCCGTGGCGACCCCTGCAGAAGGGAGTAGCTGCAAGAAACGTACAGTTGTTTTGAGTTGTTGACAACAATTCACTTTGGTCTTGGCTCCATTCAGACTCTTAATATTCTGATCAGAAATAAACTTTATCTCTCCAAAACAAGTTTTTCAATGAGCTATCTGCAACAGGTAGGATTTCATTTGTTCACATCCCCTCTACAAAACCCAGAAACAAGGACTTTATGTTTTATGTGCATCTGGCGTCATTGTTGTTTTAGTATTTTCCGGTCTGCAGTTCAGCCTCATTTGAAACAGCAGGAGGGGTGGGGAGAGCGGTGGGGAGAGCGGTGGGGAGAGCGGTGGTGCTCTCATATTGTGCCGTCAGCTTTGTTTCTTAGAAGTTTAGGTCGTCTTTTTAAATTTACTTTGCATATTCTTTAAATACAGAGCACATGAAATGCTTTAACAGAAATCTAAACTTGATCTAAAACGCACTAACAACTTGTGTCACTTTGCTGTTGTTTTTTTTTTTAAACAGGGGGACCAAGTTCACAAATCAGTGTTCATCATCTTTTTCCAAGGTGACCAGCTGAAGAACAGGGTGAAGAAGATCTGTGAGGGGTTGGTGTCCCACGATGAACCATCTGTTGTTTCTGTTTAGACTGGATTCTCTGTCCTCATCAGGATTAGTTACTGTTTTTATTGGTTCTATAGATTTATAGATATGAACACAAGTATAAGATGAGATTGATACTCGGACCTTCAGACTCTGCAGAATCAGCATTTGATCCTGAATTAAATACAGAGGGTTCACAGCAGAACATTTGCAATTGTTTAGGTTTGATTTTTGATTAATTAAAGGTTAGTGTTGGAATATGTGCCAAAAAACTGTAGATTTTTGAATATATTTGAACATAGCGTATTGGTAGAAAACCTGTGTATCAACTTGTTTTGAATTTAGTTCAACTTACTGGACTTTATTGTCACAGTACTGTGCCGAGTTAGAGACGTAATTAGCAGAGCGTAGTAAAAAGCCTGTGTTTGATGCAGTAAGCTAACACTGAGTGCATGTCTCCAGGTTCCGTGCCTCTCTTTATCCATGCCCTGAAACCCCACAGGAGAGGAAGGAGATGCTTGCTGGAGTTAACAGCCGCATCGATGACCTCCAAATGGTACGTCAGAGATAACGTTAGTGCATCAGTTGATGGTTTGCTTTGATGCTCTATGTGTTTCACAAAGTATGAAAACAAGTCAGAGAAAAGACGCTGATATCCATCCATCCATTTTCTTCCGCTTATCCGGGGTCAGGTCGCGGGGGTAGCAGCCTAAGTAGGGAGGCCCAGACTTCCTTCTCCCCAGCCACTTGGTCCAGCTCCTCCGGGAATACCGAGGCGTTCCCAGGCCAGCTGAGAAACATAGTCCCTCCAGCGTGTCCTGGGTCTTCTTCTGGGTCTCCTCCCGGTGGGACGTGTCTGGAACACCTCACCAGGGAGGCGTCCAGGAGGCATCCTAAACAGATGTCCAAGCCAACTCAACTGGCTCCTCTTACATATCACAGTGGACCAATGATACATGGTTTCATTGGTCCAACGGAGGGGGAGGACTTTGCTAACACACTCCCCCCCCCTTCTCTTCTCCCCTCCTCATTGTGCTCCGAGGGGGGTGTTGGGAAACTTTGTTCCCCCCCATCAGCACAAGCTGTCCTGCTCAGGAGGATGGTGAAGATAGTGATCTGACTTCCTGGTAGCTACTGTATTTTTTTAACCAGCCGTGTTACAGTCACTGTTCAGGTAAAAACATTTACTGTACGTATTTGTGTATGTTATGGTACATATTAATTATGGTACATATTAATTATGGTACATATTAATTATGGTACATATTAATTATGGTACATATTACTTATGGTACATATTATATTAAGTTGAAAACATCTTTCTGTGTTAATATCTCATGTTACAATGTGGACACCTGCGGCTTCTACACAAGTATACTATATATGTACAAAATTATTATTTTTTATTTAGTGGGCGTGGCTTATATTTGGGTGCGCTCAATAGTTCATAAATTACAGTAATTTAGTTTTTCATTTTCTGTCAACCTTTTCTCAGAGCTATGCTCTTGTGGTGTTGACTCTTTGCAGGCCAGCGTTTGTCTTTCACTAAACACCAGAAGTGTCTCTTCCAGCTGAGTAACAACCACAAAACACCATAAATCATGTCTTCGTTTTAAAGTTTAGATCAGTGTAGCTCGTTAGACCAATGAATTTTGTAGCCCCTTAAGAAACTGGGTGTGGAATCAGTGACCTATTAAAGAAATCACTTTAACCTATACTTCTTCAAGGCTTGAGTCATGCAGACATCTAACTTGTTGAACCAGGGTTTCTTCATACTATTGTTATAGGTTCTGAACCAAACGGAGGACCATCGCCAGCGAGTGCTACAGGCCGCCTCTAGGACTATGAGGGTGTGGTTCATCAAGGTCAGGAAGATGAAGGCCATCTACCATACACTCAACCTCTGCAACATTGATGTCACCCAAAAGTGTTTGATTGCCGAAGTGTGGTGTCCGGTGTCAGACCTGGACTCAATCCAGTTCGCTCTGCGCAGAGGAACGGTGAGATTTCTGCTTCTTTGTTCTACAAAGTGCAGTAATAGAAAACCAGTGAAGCATGGCACATTTCTCTTTTCTAAGTTAATTTCAACTTGGCAATGTTCATGTTTTGTTTCTTCTGCCTTCTTACAAGAAACTTTACTTTAAATTTAGACTCAGACTCAATCTCTGAAACTAATTATTGATGACAAAAGTGAGGATGTAATTGAGATGTAACACATACGGTAATAGAACAATTACCAGAGGGCATACAGTAAGTATTACAAGTGGAGTCATAGTGTTATCAGGCAGTTGCTGGAGTGAGAAACAGAAGATGCAAAGTAAACCAGCACCTGATGGGCAGCACATATAAGCTATGTGTACATGCTCAAAATTCTTGGACCGGATTAAAATGTTTTTAGATTAAATAATTCAAATGTATCATTTACATGGGCACAATCCTTTCACGACGAGCGTTTACGTGCAGCGGGCTTTTATTCTGAACAGAAGTGCTGACATGCAGAGTGGTAAACTCTCCTTAAAAAACACAGAAGTAGTTCTACTTCTGGTTTACTTCCGTGATGAACACAAACAAACCTGATCGCCCAAAATAGACCCACAACAGGTTTTAATGACCTCTTTCAAAGTTTCTAGTAGAAATGTTGTGTCGCTCACCGACCAGTTTTTCACCATGGGAAAAAAATGAACAGATTAAGTGTTTACATGCACACCTTTCGGATTATGAATCAGCATAAACCACCCGTTTCGTTCTGATTACAAATTCTTTCGGATCTAGCAGAATCAACCAAAAATAATCTGAGTGGGGCGTTTACATGACGCATTTTTATTCCAAATGGCTGTTTAATCCGATTACTTATGTCCATGTAAACATAGTGAGTTAGCACGAGTTGCCTGGCACGCAGCACACAGATGTCACAGTGACTTGGTGTTGGAACCAGTGCGTACATGAGGACACGCCCACACATGTTGTGAAGGTTCCTGTAGTCTAACAAACTACATAAAGGAATCATTGTGCACTAAGCATTAGAGAACCTCATAACATCTTCACTTGATATACAGACATAGGTACTGGGCTCTTTACCAGACTGAATTATCACACACTGTGTCTCAACAGCTGGAATCAACTGGACATAGCAGCATGTCCGTACTGTCAACTCTTATTTATTTGATCTAATATTGTTGTCACCATGATACAGTCACATGACTTTTTAACATTTTATTTTCACTGCTTTGTCTGGGCGCTCAGCTTATTTCCTAGTGAGTGTAATTTTAGTCTGTTTAGTTCAAATCAAACGACCAGTAAGTTATTCCAAGTGTTGTGTTGGATAATGTTTAAACTTCAGACCCCTCCACTTGGACCTCATGTTACTGAAACGCTCTGTTTCACAGGAGAGAAGTGGCTCCACGGTGCCTTCAATTCTGAACAGAATGCAGACCAAGCAGACTCCACCTACTTTCAACAAGACCAACAAGTTCACATCAGGCTTCCAGAACATCGTTGACGCCTACGGGATTGGAAACTATCGGGAAATAAATCCAGGTTTTAAGGAATTTACTCATTTGAATTTATTTGAAGTGGTGGCGCAGAGGTTAGAAGGTGGGCCTGTGATCAGAAGATCGCCGGTTCAGCTCCCGGTACCGACAACATCAAAATGTGGGTGGGTGGGAAAGGTGAAGCACCCAAACCTGCCTCCACCCTCATTTGCCCCACTCTGGACCCTTGAGCAAGGCCCTTAACCCCCACCATCTGCTCCCCCGGGCACCCTAGATGGCAGCTCTCTGCTCCACACAGAGGCTGTGGTAGCTCGGTGGCTGTGGTTGTGTCAGGAAGAACATCCGGCGTAAAAACAATCATCAAGTCTTCGTGTAACTTAGTTCCACAGAGCCCCACAGAGGAAACTCCGCCCCCTCATTTGAATATAAGAACATGAAATGAAAAGCACTTAAAATGAAAAACGGGGTTAAATATAAAAAGCCCCTGAAATGTGTAAAGTAGCTTTACAAAATAAAAGTGTCACAAAATTACACTCCATTATTTATTTAATTAATTAATCTTGAAATAAATAAAAATCTTTAAATAAATAAAAATAAATCTTGGAAAAAACAAACATTTCTATTTAAATATTTTGTTTCATGGGAACATATATTTATTTAATGGAATATTTATTAATTTTTAAATAACACTATTTATTTAATTTTGAATGCAATGACTCCATATGTAGTGACCCGCAGATGCGATGCCACACGAAGCACGCTGCGTTTACAAAAGAAAATATGGATGCTATGCAGGTTAACATGTGTGTATTGATTTTGAAGTTGTTATGCGTGGAGGCGGCTGTGGCTGAGTGGTTAGAGCAGTCGTCCTCTAATGTGAGAGTTGGGGGTTCGAAGCCACCAGCAGTCACATGCCGAAGTGTCCCTGGGCAAGACACTGAACCCCCCATCTTTGTAGATCTAGTAGAGTGCTGTATGAATGGGTAAATGAGGCACAGATTGTTATGTAAAGCGCTTTGAGTATCTTGAAATAAGATAGAAAGGCGCTACAAAGTATATAAGTACAGTCCATTTACCATTTATGCAATCAGAGCAAACAACATTATTATCTGCTATGCTTGTTTCGTCCAGTGTTTACATTTGATCTTGCCTGGAATGGGAACAATTTACTTAAAGTAGAAACAAATTAAATTATCAATCCCATTACGTTATCAATAGGATTCGACATGTAAGTCAGTATCATATGTTGGTGTAGATTATTGTCATCTAGGACAAGACAAATCTAAAAAGTAAAATAAAAAAAACGACTGGGTTACGTTCGCTATGAAGACAAGTGGTGTTTCAAGTTTTAAACTGCACGATATTGGTATCATTGTCATGCATTGTGTTGTATTTGAAAAATTCTAATTTGTCACATTAATACTGATTTAAAAAAATACTCCAAACTGAGCCACATAGAGGCACAATAACAGATTTGGGCTACTTTTGCCTTCAATGTGACGATATCCTAGGATTTCTAAAACATAATCAAATACTGTAGCTACAGAAAGATGCAAGCATTTATTTGATTTTAATGGATATTATTAACAGCTGGAAATTAAATGACAGTAAAAGCAGAAAATGCAGAGTTTATTCTAAACAATAAAAATTATAAATGTAAACTCCTCAACATGGCAGAGGCCTAAAAAAATTTGCCACAGCTGACTTACTTTTGTCCAAATAAAACGTATCTTGGCAGTTATGTTGTAGACATGTCTGAACCATCCATCCATACATCCATCCATACATACATACTGTATATACATTATCTTTACCCGCTTTTTGCTTTTATGTCTGAACCATCCATCCATCCACCCATCTATTTTCTTCCTCTTTTCCGGGGTCGGGTCGCGGGGGTAGCAGCTTAAGTAGGGAGGCCCAGACTTTCCTCTCCCCATCCACTTAGTCCAGCTCCTTTGGGGGAATTCCGAGGTTTTTCCAGGCCGGCTGAGAAACATAGTCCCTCCAGCGTGTCCTGGGTCTTCCTCTGGGTCTCCTCCCGGTGGGACATGTTCAGAACACCTCACCAGGGAGGCGTCCAGGAGGCATCCTAACCAGATGCCCGAGCCACCTCAACTGGCTCCTCTCGACGTGGAGAGGCAGCGGCTCTACTCTGAGTCCCTCCCGGATGTTCGAGCTTCTCACCCTATCTCTAAGGGAGAGCCCAGATACCCTGCAGAGGAAACTCTTTTCGGCCGCTTGTATCCATGATCTTGTTCTTTCGGTCACAACCCAAAGCTCATGACCATAGATGAGGGTAGGAACGTAGATCGATCGGTAAATTGAGAGTACAGATGACCTGACTGAAAAATGTTGGATTGTATACCTGGATTATTGAGCATGGACTTTGTTGGTAAATTGAGAGCTTTGCCTTTTGACTCAGCTCTCTCTTCACCATGACAGACTGGTACAGCGCCCGCTTCACTGCAGACGCTGCACCTATCCGCCTATCGATCTCACGCTCCATTTTTCCCTCATTCGTGAACAAGACCCCAAGATACTTGAACTCCTCCACTTGGGGGCAGGACCTCCTCCCTGACCTGGAGAGGGCACTCTACCCTTTTTTGGCTCAAGACCATGGCCTCAGATTTGGAGGAACTGATCTTCATCCCGGCTGTGTCGCACTCGGCTGCGAACCGCTCCAGCAAAAGCTGTAGATCACGACTTTATGAAGCCAATAGGACCACATCATCTGCAAAAAGCAGAGACGCAATCCTAAGACCACCAAAACGGATCCCCTCATCACTTTGGCTGTGTCTAGAAATTCTGTCCATAAAAGTTATGAACAGAATTTGTGACAAGGAGCAACCTTGGCGGAGTCTAACTCTCACTGGGAACAAACCTGACTTACTGCCAGTAATGCGGACCAGGCTCTGACATCTGTCATACAGGGACCTAACAGCCCATTTCAAAGGGCCTGGTACCACATACTCCCAGAGTACCCCACACAGGGTTCCCCGAGAGACACGGTCGAACGCCTTCTCCAATTCCACAAAGCACATGTAGACTGGTTGGGCAAACTCCCACACACCCTCCAGGACCCTGTTGAGAGTGTAGAGATGGTCCAGTGTTCCACGACCAGGACAAAAACCGCACTGCTCCTCCTGAATCCGAGATTTGACTATCCGACGGACCCTCCTCTCCAGAACCCCTGAATAGACCTTACCAGGGAGGCTTAAGAGCGTGATCCCCCTGTAGTTGGAACACAATCTACATTCCCCCTTTTTGAATAGGGGGACCACCACCCCGGTCTGCCAATCCAGGGAAACTTCCCCCAATGTCCACGCAATATTGCAGAGTCGTGTAAGCCAACACAACCCTACAACATCCAGAGCCTTAAGGAACTCCGGGCAAATCTCATCCACCCGTGGGGCCCTGCCACCGAGGAGCTTTTTAACCACCTCTGTGGCCTCAGCACCAGAGATTGGAGGGCCCGACCCAGAGTCCCCAGGCTCCGCTTCCTCACTGGAAGACATGTTAGTGTGATTGAGGAGGTCTTCAAAATATTCTGCCCACCGACCCACGAAATCCCGAGTTGAGGTCAGCAGCACACCACCCCCACTATAAACAGTGTTGGTGGTGTACCACTTTTCCCCCCCTGAGACGCCGGATGGTGGACTAGAATCACCTCGAAGCTGTGCATAAGTCATTCTCCATGGCCTCTCCGAACTCCTCCCATGCCTGAGTTTTTGCCTCAGCGACCATCCAAGTCGCATGTTGCTTGGACTGCCGGTACCCATCAGCTTTTTCTGGGGTCCCACAGGCCAAAAACGCCCAATAGATCTCCTTCTTCAGCCTGACAGCATCCCTCACCGCTGGTGTCCACCACCGGTTTCGAGGGTTGCCGCCACGACAGGCACCGGTAACCTTGTGGCCACAGCTCTGGTAAGCTACCTCGACAATGGAGGCACGGAACATGGCCCACTTGAACTCAATGTCCCCCACCTCCCCCAGAACATGTTCAAAGTTCTCCCGGAGGTGGGAGTTAAAGCTCCGTCTCACAGGAGACTCTGCCAGACATTCCCAGCAAACTCTCACAATATGTTTGGCCCTGCCAGGTCTGACCGGCATCCTCCCCCACCATCGGAGCCAATTCACCACCAGGTAGTGATCAGTGGACAGCTCCACCCCTCTCTTCCCCCGAGTGTCCAAGACATGCGGCCGCAGATCACATGAGATGACAACAAAGTCGATCATCGAACTGCGGCCTATGGTGTCCTGGTGCCAAGAGCACATATGGACACCCTTATGCTTGAACATGGTTTTTGTTATGGACAATCCATGACGAACACAGAAGTTCAACAACAGAACACCACTCGGGTTCAGATCGGGGGGCCGTTTCTCCAAACCACACCCCTCCAGGTCTCACTCTCATTGCCCACATGAGCATTGAAGTCCCCCAGCAGAACAAGGGAGTCCCCAGGAGTTGCACTTTCCAGTACCCCCTCCAAGGACTCCAAAAAGGGTGGATAATTTGAACTGCCGTTTGGTGCATAAGCACAAACGACAGTCAGAACCTGTCCCCCCACACGTAAGCAGAAGGAGGCTACCCTCTCATTCACCGGGGTGAACCCCAACACGCAGGCACCAAGATGGGGGGCAATAAGTATGCCCACTCCGCCCGGCGCCTTTCACCAGGGGCAACTCCAGAGTGGAAGAGTGTCCAACCCATCTCAAGGAAACTGGTGCCAGAGCCAGAGCCATGCATAGAGGTGAGTCCGACTATTTCTAGACGGAACCTCTCAACCTCACACACACCAGCTCAGGCTCCTTCCCCACCAGTGAGATGACATTCCACGTCCCAATTAATAGCTTCTGTAGCCGAGGATCAGACCGCCAGGGTCCCCGCCCTCGACCACCACCCGTCCCAAATTGCTCCCGACCCCTTTGGCCCCTCCCACAAGTAGTGAGCCCATGGAAATGGGGACCCACGTCTCCTCTTCGGGCTGTTCCTGGCCGAGCTTCATGGGTAAAAGCCCGGCCACTAGGCGCTCACCCGCATGCCCCACCTCCAGGCCTGGCTCCAGAGTGGGGCCCGGGTGACCCACGTCCGGGTGAGGGAACATTGAGTCCATTTATTTTTCTCATCATAGGGGTGTTTTGGCTGCACTTTGTCTGGTCCCTCACCTAGGACCTGTCTGCCTTGGGTGACCCTACTAGGGGCGTGAAGCCCCTGACATCATAGCTCCTAGGATCATTGGGACACTCAAACCCCTCCAACACGGTAAGGTGGCAGCCCAGGGAGGGGATGTCTGAACCAGTTGAATGAAATAATTTTGAGCCCAGCCAGTATGAGGAAGCTTTAAATGCCACGCATCATAATTTCTGCTGGACAGAACTTTACCAACATTACTCGACATGATCTAAGTGTTAATGTAAACCAAAACAAAAATTATTCAAGTAATTGATGGCTGTGTTCTCTGCCTATTCATGGTTAACTTTTTAAGTTCAAATTACGCACATTAATATGAATAAAATAAAATGTTCCTGTACTTCCAAATGATCATGACGTAAAAATTATGATTTTAAGTAAATTTTCTTCATGTGAATAAACATAAGGTGGCTTATTTTTATTATTTGCAGGCATCTAAAACTATTAAGACTTGATAAATAAAAAAGTAGATGATTTTATTTTGAATATTTGAGCTTTGACATTTTTCCTTTACCTGTTAAAGCTCCGTACACCATCATCACCTTTCCCTTCCTGTTTGCGGTGATGTTCGGGGACATGGGTCATGGCCTTTTGATGACCTGCGCTGCCCTTTACTTGGTCCTCCGTGAGAGTCGCATCCTTGCGCAGAAGAGCGATAACGAGGTACTGTTTTTACAACACAAAATGATTTGGACACACATTGCAAACATTGGAAACTGTCCCATCTAAGGTGTTTATCTCTGCAGATGTTCAATATGATTTTTGCTGGTCGCTACATCATCCTTCTGATGGGGATCTTCTCAGTCTACACTGGCGTCATTTACAATGACTGTTTCTCCAAGTCCCTGAACATGTTTGGCTCTGGTTGGAGTGTCAGACCAATGTTCGGTTCTAAAGGAGCCAACTGGTCGTAAGTTGACCATCTCTCAGCTTTTCTGAAATCTTCCCTGTAAACTCAACTGTGACATAATGTAACCTTTATTCAGCAAATCACAGTCTGGCATCCATGTGTCATCACTAAACTGTTATTTATACCCCCCCCCCTCCCCCTCGCCAAGTCAGATACATTTCCATGTTCCAAAATGAATGTTTTCACCCACATCCTGCAGGACATCAAAACAAGGCAACTGTTAAGTTCATGCATTATTTGTTGATTAATCTGTATAGGTTTGAGACACTTGATGCAAATCCAGTTCTACAGTTGGATCCTGCAGTTCCTGGTGTGTTCAGCGGGCCTTATCCTCTTGGAATTGATCCGGTAAAATGTTTACACTTGAAGAAAAAGCTACAATTTAAGCTTTTGAGTCTGTACTGACATCAAGAAAGAATGTTAAAGTCACTTTCATGTACCTCACATGTATCTACAGCTGTAAGAATCACAGAACCCCAATTTGAAATATATTTGTCCAGTTATAAACGTATATGTACAGTATATTATGGGGGTACTGTACACTATGGGGTCCGAGATGGGGTAGAGGCAGGGCAGCTGACCTGGGACCCTAAAGTCCCAGGCTTGATCCCCAGCCATTCCCACATGTCGTGGTATCTCTTAGCAAGACACCTAATCCCTAATTGCTCCCCATGTGCTTACATAGCTGCCCACTGCTTCACCTGGGTGTATCTCAGGTGTGATGGGTTAAATGCAGTGGACTAATTTCACCATTGTATGGAAACATACAATGATGACAACACACAGCACTTATATGTTGTATATTCCTGTATTGTCTGCACAGATCTGGAACGTGGCTACCAACAAGCTAACTTTCCTCAACTCATTCAAGATGAAGATGTCAGTGATCCTTGGTGTAATCCACATGATTTTTGGAGTTTCTCTCAGTCTCTTCAACTACTTGTATGTTATAATAAAGTCTGACAATTAATGTTAATGCTTTACACTCATGTATTTGTTATTTAAGTCATAGATCACGAGGAGGAAAACATGTCAGGAGACAGAGGGAAAAGAGGAAAGTCAATAATGTAGGACTGAGGGTTGCAACTCTAAATGTGGGGACAATGACAGGCAAAGGTAGAGAGCTGGCTGACATGATGCAGAGAAGGAAGATAGATGTTTTATGTGTCCAAGAGACCAAGTGGAAGGACAGCAAGGCTTGCAGCATTGGAGAAGGGTTCAAACTGTTTTACCATGGTGTGGACAGAAAGAGAAATGGAGTAGGAGTGGTCCTGAAGGAGGAGTTGGCAAAGAATGTAGTAGAGGTGAAGAGAGTGTCAGATAGGGTGATGTGTCTCAAGATAGAAGTAGAAGGACTGATGCTAAATGTTGTCAGTGGTTATGCTCCACAAGTTGGATGTAATGTGGAGGAGAAAAATACATTTTGGAATGATCTGGATGAAGAATAGAGAGTATTCTCAGGGAGGAGAGAGTGGTGATCAGCGCAAATCTGGACATGTTGGTGAAGGAAAAGGCGGGGATGAGGAAGTGATGGTAGGTTTGGTGTCAAGGAAAGAAACCTGGAAGGACAGATGGTGGTGGATTTTACCAAGAGAATGTAAATGGCTATAGTCAACAGGGTATCAGGTAACATATTTTCAAAAGATGGAGGAACATAGCATGACCTATAAGAGTGGAGGAAGGAGTATGCAGGTCGACTACATTCTGTGTAGAAGAGGAAACCTGAGGGAGATTGGAGACTGTAAGGTTGTGGCAGGGAGAGCGTGGCCAGACAGCACTGGATGGTTGTGTGTAGAATGACTGTTGTTGTGAAGAAGAGAAAAAGAGTAAAATCAGAGAAGAAGACAAAATGGTGGGAGCTGAAGAAGGAAGAATGTTGTGAGAAATTCAGAGAGGAGCTGTTAAAGGCTCTGGGTAATAAGAAAGCGCTTCCAAATGACTGGACTACTACAGCAACAGTAATTAGAGAGACAGGTAGGAAGGTACTTGGTGTGTCATCTGGACAGAGAATGGATGATAAGGAAACCTGGTGGTGGAATAGTGAAGTGCCGGAAGATATTCAAAGAAAGAGATTAGCCAAGAAGAAATATGACAGTGAGAGGACTGAAAGGAGACAGGAATATAAGGAGATGCAATGTAGAGCAAAGATAGAGGTAGCTAAGGCAAAGCGGAAGGCGTATCATGAGTTGTATGGGAGGCTGGACACTAAAGAGGGCGAGAAGGACTTGTACCGATTGGCAAGACAGAGGGATCAAGATGGAAAGGAGCTGCAGCAGGTTAGGCTAGTTAATGATAGGAATCTCTTCACTTGTTCTAATAAGTGAAGACAGTGTGATGGGAAGGTGGAAGTGGTACTTTGAGGAGCTAATGAATGAAGAGAATGAAAGAGAAAGAAGAGTAAAGGTCATAGAAACTGTGGACCAGGAAGTGGGAAAGATTAGTGAGGGTGAAGTCCAGAAAGCTCTGAAAAGAATGAAGAAGGGGAAGGCAGTAGGACCTGATGACCAGTGGAGGTTTGGAAATGTCTTGGAGAGATGGCAGTGAGGTTTTTGACTCAAATATTCAATGGCATATATGAGGGTGAGAAAATGCCTCAGGAATGGAGAAGAAGTGTGCTGGTGCCCATTTTTAAGAACAAGGGTGATGTACAGAGTTGTAGTAACTACAGGGGAATTAAGTTGATGAGCCACACGAAGAAGATCTGGGAGAGAGTTGCGGAAGATAGACTTAGACGAGAGGTGACTATCTGTGAGCAGCAGTATGGTTTCATGCCAAAAAAGAGCACCACAGACTCCGTCTTTGCTTTGAGAATGCCGATGGAGAAGTACAGAGAGGGTCAGAAAGAACTCCATTGTGTCTTTGTGGATTTAGAAAAAACATCTGACAGAGTGCCGAGGGAGGAGGTGTGGTATGACGTGAGGAAATCTGGAGTGGCAGAGAAGTATGTTAGACTGGTACAGGACATGTATGAGGACAGCAGGACAGTGGTGAGATGAATGACAAATAGCTTCAAGGTGGAGGTGGGATTGCATCAAGAATCAGTTCTGAGCCCCTTCTTGTTTGCTCTAGTGATGGACTGACTAGCAGATGAGGTCAGGCAGGAATCTCTGTGGACTATGATGTTTGCAGATGACATTGTGATCTGTGGTGAGAACAAGGAACAGGTGGAAGAGAACTTGGAGAGGTGGTGGTATGCACTAGAAAGAAGAGGAATGAAAGTCAGCCGTAGTAAGACAGAGTACATGTGTGTGAATGAGAGGGAGGAGGTGGAACAGTGAGGCTACAAGGAGCAGATGTCACAAAGGTGCAGGACTTCAAGTACTTGGGGTCCACTGTCCCGGAAAATGGGGAAGAGGTGAAGAAGAGAGTCCAGGCAGGATGGAGTGGTTGGAGAAAAGTTTCAGGAGTGATTTGTGACAAAAAGGTGTCAGCAAAGGTCAAAGGAAAAGTTTACAAGACAGTGGTGAGACCAGCTATATTGTATGGTCTGGAGACAGAGACATGGACAAAAAGACAGGAGACAGAACTGGAAGTGGCAGAAATGAAGACGTTGAGGTCCTTCTTAGGAGTGACAAGGATGGAGAAGATTAGGAATGAGATCATCAGAGTTACAGTACAGGTTGAACAACTGGGAGATAAAGTTAGAGAGGACACACTGAGATGGTTTGGACATGTCCAGAGGAGGGACAGTGGGTCTATTGGTAGAACGATGTTAGAAATGATGCCCGGAAAAAGACAAAGAGGTGATATATGGATGCAGTTAGAGAGGACATGGAGGTAGTTGGAGTGAGGACAGAGTGAGATGGTGGAGGATGACTCACTGTGGAGACCCCTGAAGAGGGAAAAGCCAAAAGAAGAAGAAGAACTTTGTTATTTTAAAAAACAATTTATCTTTATTGCATATACTGTTTCTTTTGGCTGCTCCCTTCTTCAGGGGTTGCCACAGCAAACAAACTCGCACAGAAGATGTTGGCAATTGTTTAATGCCCAATGCCCTTCCTGACGCAACCTGGGCTTGAACCCACAACTTCGGGATTACAAGACCACGACACTGACCACAAAGTTAGCGTAGCCTCAATCTTTTATTACTTATGGTGATGTAAAATAACAAAAATGGCGAAATCTTGTCATCTGGACCTGTTTAATTAAGAAACAGGTCCAGATGACATGATATAACCATTTTTGTTATCTACCTGAATGTTTGAGCTTACAAAACTTGTTTATGATGTAAAATACCACAGATAGAAAAAGCTTCTGACCTAACTGTACCTGCAGTTGATGGTGTCAGTGATGAAAGGTGTAGAAATTCTCAGCTTCTTAATTTTTGTTCTTGTCCAACTTCCCTGTCGTGCAGGTATTTTAAGAAGCCTTTGAACATCTTCCTGAGCTTCATTCCAGAGATTGTCTTCATGTCAAGCCTGTTTGGCTACCTCATCCTGCTGGTCTTCTACAAGTGGACAGCCTATGATGCTTACACCTCCAAAGATGCTCCCAGTTTACTCATCCACTTCATCAACATGTGTCTCTTTAACTACAATGACCCTACAAACAAACCCCTCTATAGGGGACAGGTGCTCCTTTTTCATTTATCCATCTGGATTACAGTTTTTCTTTTCATCATATAAGTTATCTCTGTCGAAAAAAGCTTTGAAGATAAAGTAGATGACTTGGTGAATGCATTTATACGTCTTTAAAACAACAATTCAGATCTTTTAAAGGGATCTCCGACTACGGTAGTTGGAACAATAGCTACAAAATAAACTATAAACAGCTATAAAAACCGAGATTGTAAAAATACTGTAGACAGTTTAGTTTTTATAATAAAAAAATACAAATTATGACACACAAACCTTGTCATTTTAGTAATGCAGCAATGCATTCTGGGTAAATTATTTAGACTGGTTACTTCAGTGCGAGCTCCATTCAGCTTGATGTTCATTTTGGACATTATCTGACATTCAGCTCTTTAATTTAAACCAGAGCACATTGAGAGAGGAGAATGGAGAAATAACTTTGCTCTCATGTTGTCTTCAGAGCTAATATCTGTGACGTTAGCTCCAGAGCTAATTTATATGCTGCTAGTACTAGGCTCTGGAGCTAATAGCGTTCAACAAGAGCTGATGTTAACTGCAGACCTAACTGCGTAAGCTCCAGAGCTTTATACATATATATATATATATATATATATGT